CGTGGTGGTGGTGGGGGCCACCAACCGGCCCGACGCGCTGGACCCGGCGCTGCGCAGACCCGGGAGGTTCGACCGCGAGGTGAATGGGCCGGGCGCGGTGGCCGCGTCCCTGGGCGTCTCCCTCTGGGAGCCGGGGTGGCGGGACCAGGGCTGTGTAACGCAGAGAACACGTTCAGTGCCCGGTACATGATCTGCACACCAGGACCTGTTTCCCAGCGGTCACTTTGTTCCAAGAGGTAGAGCTGCGTTTAGAAACGAGTTTTATTGTGCAGGTCCTGAAGATAAGCTCTGTACTGTTACCAGTAATGTGAATCCTTGAGGAGGGAGCCTGATCTCTTACACGCCTGTTAGATTTGAGCGAGAATTTAAAATAGAGGTGTCTTCAAAACGTGTTGAAATAAAAGGGAGAAGGCAAGGAAGAACTAAACCAAAGCGAGCGTTCCTCTTCTGCTCGTCTCTTAGCAGTACACCGGCATACTGTCCCACAAATGAAGTTGAGCGGTTGTCTCTCAGATGTATTCAACTGAAGAATTTGTCCTGGGATGGTTGTACTAAAACCAGAAGTCATAACATCATATTTACCAGAAAATTACTCTTGCAATATGCAGTACCAGGGAGTTGAAAGCATTTGTCCCAAGCCTGTTGTACCACATAAATTCTGCCGGATGTGAGTGCAGTGACGTGACACTGCGTTTTCCTCGTGTTTTTCGGGTATGGACACCAAGAGGTGACGTGGGACAGAATATGCTGGGATTCCAGGCACACTGAGTGTTTCAGGCCGTCGGTGAATCAGCGAGCCAGGAATGGCAGCGAATGCTAGAACCAGGCTGAACTACGCATTGCAACATAGGTAGCAAAGTCTGGGCGGAATGGTCACCAGTGACTTCTAAATAACCAGTAGCTGGTTGATGGGTAGCTTCTGCAGCACCAAAAACCTCCAAGCTCAGCACTCGATGGCATTTGATTTTGGGCTTGTCAGTTTTCAGGTTAATGGCCACCGAGCTGTGTCTTGTGTGATTCTGTAGTGCTGCTTTCTGCACAGAAAAGTGGGGCTACTGGCTGTAGTTGGAACTGAAATAACAGTAGCCACTCTGTGACTTCTGCAGTACCAGAGTGTTTCATTGCTTACAACTGAGAAGGTATCCACAGTTGCCTCTTCAGTTGGTGGAAGGCTGAGTGTTCAAAGCCGTCCTATAATTTTGTTCCTAAATTGATTCTTGGTTTCTGAAGAAATTTAGTAAATGATGTTTGGGTTTTGTGGTGGGGTTCTACAGAGAGGATAATTGCACATTTTTAATTTTTCAAGTTCTTTTTCAAGGTTTTTTTGTTTGTTTTGTTTTTTGTGGTGCCGGGAATTGAACTCGGGACCTTGTGCTTGCCAGGCAGGCACTGTACCAGTGAGCTATATCCCTGGCCCTAATGGCACATTTTTAGATGAGTCTGTTCAGGGCTTGGGTGAATTTCTGGTACTGTCCGGTAACTGTCTCCTGAATGAGCTCTACATGGGTGGGGACCTAAACTGTGTGGTTTGGTATTCTGTCCCTGACTCCTAGAACTTGATTAGGTTCCCCAAGATAACAAAAACTTGTTAAGTGATCTATTCAATTTTTATTGTGTGATTTTTGTGGCCACTTGTCACGCCACTGAAAAGTTGGGGTTTTCATATATTCCAGATCTAAGGTCTGCCTAGATGTACATGGTGCTAGATCCAGACTGGCCCACTCAGTTACTTTCTGTCTGTGAAGATAAAGAGATAGTTGAAACCGTAAGCTTTAATTTTTCTTCTTTTTTGTGCACCCTAAAAGGTAATCATCGGGACCCCCACACTGAAACAGAGAAAGGCCATCCTGCAGGTGATCACCTCAAAGATGCCCATCTCTAGGGACGTTGATTTGGACGCGCTTGCGGAGATGACCGTGGGCTACGTGGGTGCCGACCTGACGGCCCTGTGCAGGGAGGCCGCCATGCGCGCGCTCCTCCACGCTGAGAAGGTAGGAGGGCTGGTGTGGGACCCGCCGCGGGTCAGTCTTCCTGCTAACATGGCGGCTTCACACGGGGCTTCCCGAGGGGCGGCAAGTCCGCTTTCCTGGCTGCTGCTTCTCTGTACTCCTGTGTCTCAGCTCTGTGTGAGCAGAAGACAGTGGAAGGCAAAGGTGAGGGGCGGAGTCTTCCAGGTCTGCACGGCGTATTTCTCCTCCCTGGCAACTGCCGAGGGCCAAGCCCAGAGCAGCCTAAAAGGCAGTGGCCCCAGAGGAAGCAAACAACTTATTTTTTTTTTATTTTGAAGCAGTGTCAGACAAAATTGCAGAAGCAGTGTGAAGAATTTCTGTATTTCCTTCGCACAGATTCTCCAAATACAACATTTGACCATGTTTATCATCCTCTCACACATATGAGTTTATTTAGTTTTTTTTTCTGAAGCATTTAAGAGTATCCTGCAGCTGGGATGCCCCTTTTCCTTGAGCACCTCGGGGGTTTATTTGGTAAAAGCAGGAACTTTAACCACGGTGTCATGATCAAGCTGAGGAAGTCCCCGCTGACACGTGCTTTTCCTCATCCATGTGGACCGTCAGTCCCTCCGTGACCTCAGTTTTTTCACAGCTTGGGTCAGGTGCTCTGTAGACGGGACTGTCCTTCGGTTCGGGTTGGACTGCTGTTTTCTCGAGCAATTCAGGTGTTGCGTTTGGGCAGGAATAGCACGGAAATGGCCCTGGGTTTTCCCGTTGTCTGTTACGCAGTGCGCGGTATCTCCCAGGCCCACCACAGTTAACTTCGCTTTCTCAGATAAGATGCTATCTAGGATTCCAACATTGCCAAGGTAGTATTTTCCCTCTTTTTAATTAACGAGACCCTATGGGAAAATAAAATTTTCTGATCCCGGAGAAGATTGGACGCTTGGAATTTTCTTTAAATGCCTTCCTCTTCCTTTTTATTTACTCTTATACTAAAAGTGGGGAGAAGTAACATGAACTTCTAGGTCATCGTGTGGGTTTAGAACCCAAACCGCTTGACATTTTGTAAATTCACGGGTAACAGTGTGAGCCTCTGTGTCCTTCGAGGCAAGGATGAGGTGTGCGTTTAGGAGCCCCTCTGCTTTGAGAGATCCCAGTTTGACTGAGCACCTCTGGCTTAGGTGGACCAGCCGGCTGCTGCCGCTTCAGGAGGGGCCTAAGTATAGTTCCCGTGGGCGACGGCTGTCTGGGAAGTGCAAGGAAGAAAGGCACAGGAAGGAGGGACAGAGACATCTGGGCAGGTACTGGCTTGTCTTTTTCTTCTTTCCCCATCAGGCAGCTGAGGGGCAGCCAGGCGAGGATCCGTTAGAGTGGATTAACCTTTTGTGACGCATTCCCATTAAAGGATTACAAATGTAGCTCAGTACCTGCAGAGGGGAAACAATGTGCTGCTGCCGAGAGAGTTCTGACAATCTAGTGAGGCCGTGCACAGTAGGTGACCCGGAGCTGCAAGTGAGGTTCTCACAGGTTAGTTGCGCTACCTAGAGATGAGCATGCAGGCCCAGTCAGTACTGCCAGCAAGAAGTGCTGTAGCCGCGTGTCGCATAATGTTTGCGTCAGTGATGGGCCAGGTACACAAGGGTGTGTGCACGAGGCCTGGGTGTGTTGTGGGCTTCCCCGCCCCACATGTGGTTAAGAGGCACAGTTGCTTAACTGTGTATCACTGCCAGTGCCACCCCCGTTGTTAGCAACACACGGTTGTATTTTTTAAACTATGTACTGGTGTTCTTTGTGAGAAATCAAACAAGACAGAGAAAGTTACTAAGAAAGTAAAACTGGCTGGAACGTCACCTCCCAGAGACCCGGTTGATTACATTTTTGGAAAATACTCTTCGGAATAGCTCTCTGTGCACCCGCTTGGGAAATATGTCAGAACATAGATTGTTGTTGAAAAGTGAGGGTTTGTGGACTACTGAATGTTCAGAATTTGATGGAAGAGGGCAAATTCTTTAGGAAATAGAATGCAAAACAGAGATGTAAGGAATTTTTAATTAACCAAAGCTTTGCTTCCCTCGACTAAGCAAGGAAATGATAAGACTCCGTACAAAGTAAAATCTCCACGCGAAAGTGGCCTTTCTCAGCACATGGTCTTACAGCGAAAAGGGCGTGATTTGCTCTTTCGAACACTTGGAAAGGAAACTCCTTCAGCCCAAGTTCCTTGATAGAGAACGTTCACAAGTCAGCAGGACAAGACCAGACAACCCCAGGAAAAACAGGCAACAGGGCATGGACAGGCGCTGGGAATGAAAGGAACAGCAACAGACCTGAGAAGTCTTCCTTCTTCCTTTCAGAAGTGTTTCTTTTCAGTTTTTATTAACTTTATTTTAAAATAATTTAAAATTTAAAGTGGATAGTTACAGAGAACGCCTGACAGATAAACCCTTTGTCCAGATTCACTAATTTTTAACATTTTACCAGATTAGCTTTATCATTCATTCTCTTTCTCCCCCTCTCCCTCCCTCTGTGAGCACACACATGTATTTTACATTTTGGGGGCCATTTGAGAATGAGTTGCACAAATCATGATCCTTTGTTCCCTAACATGTCACTGTTTCCTAAGAACAAGGCTGTGTCCGTACATGAGCACAGTGGACTTTAACAGTGATTCAGAATGTTCTCGAAATGTATAGGCCATATTCTCATGTGGTAAGTATCCTAGTGTTTTTAACGGTTTTCTCTTGAAGAGGATCTAGTTCAGGATAATACATTGCACTCCTTTAGTCTTTTTAAATCTCTCTCGTGCTTTTTTTGTTTTTTTGTGTGTTATTTTTTGAGACAGTCTCACTATGTAACTCAGGCTGGTCTTGAACTCACTATTAGTACAGACTGACCTTGAATTTGTGACAGTTCTTCTGCCTCAGCCTCCCAAGTGCTGAGATTACAGGCATGTGCTACCATGCCCAGGTAGTCTTTTTAAATCTTAAACATTAAAAAAAATTTTTTTTTTTTTTTTGAACAGGGTCTTGCTGTGTAGTTCAGACTGGTCTTGAACTCACTATGTAGGCCAGGCTAGCCTTCACCTCGGGGTGATTCTCCTGCCTCAGCCTCCTGAACACTGGGATTGTAGGCATACACCACCACACCTAGAAAGCTCTTGAACACTTTTTTTAAAAATCTGAGACATTTGACATTGACATAAGTGATACAGGTGGGGTGTTTTGTAGAATGGCTAGACTTGGGGTCTGCGTCCTTTTTGGGAATACTGCAGAAGTAATGTTGTGTCCTTGGAGTACCATGTTCAGAGGCACAGGATGTCCTGGGCTCCTGGTTGGTGATGCTAACTTTGATCAACCGACCACGGTAGTGTCCAGTTCCTCCCCTGTGTAGCTGTTGTTTTCCTTCTTGCCCCAAGAAATACTAGAGGAGACAGTGAGTCGCTCAGATCTGTCTCTTCCCGGATATGGCGACCTATGGCGACCTGTTCTTGCAGCTTCTAAGTGAGTCCCTCATTCCTTCCACCTCCTTCTGAGGTGGAAATTTAATTGACGCATTAGTGCACACCACTGCTTCTTGTTGCATGGGCCAGAAGCTAAAAATGTGACCTTGGTGATGAGAGGTGGGGGAGAGCAGCAGCCCTGTGCCACCGTAGGAGGAGGACCTGACGCAGCTTCGCTGGCTTTAGGAATTGCCGGCAAAATCACAAATGTGCGCACTCTTAAACCCTGCACTTCCGCTTGGAGAAAAATTATAGAAAGTACTTGAACCGGGGCAGGAAGACTTTTCGGCTGAAGCTTTAACAAGACTGACCCTGACCTATTGTTTGTGAGAAGGGTTTCTAAGATGAGTGAGAAAGAAAAGTGCAGAGTATATGTCTATGACTTAGTTCAAGTTGCTTAAAGGGTGCACATGTTACTGACACAAAACATGCCAGGAGAATTCAGAAGAAACTGTTGACATCGGCTGGTGATAAATACCAGCGGGAATTGGTGAGAGATGTTCCTTTTTTGGCACTATATATATAAATTTCATTCTGTGATTTCATTTTGTTATGATGATAACAAAATAGATTTACACATCCGAAAGAAGATTTTTTTTAAAAAATATGCTTATGTAGCACAAAGAAGGCCCACCTAATTTTCTGTCTGGTTTTCTTTTTTGGGGGTGTGTTTTCTCAGAACCAAGACAGTCCTACAATCGAGGAAACGGACTTCCTGGACGCTCTGAAGCAGATCCAGCCTTCAGCGATGCGAAGTGCTATCGGGCTGCTGGACGTCAGGCCTGTGGGCTGGGAGGACATCGGCGGCCTCGAAGATGTAAAACTGAAGCTGAAACAGGTGACGTGTCCTTGTGCTCGCTTCGGCAGCACATATGCAGGTGACGTGTCCTGCTCAGCCCATGCAGGGTCGCGGAGTGCCGCGCGCCCTTGTGATGGGAGCAGGTGGGGTGCTGCGGCCCTGGCGTCGGTGTGTGGTGAGTGCGGCAGCCAGACCCACACGTCAGACATGGCCTTCGCGATTTCCCGCCTCGGCCCTTGTCCTGTGCGGTTTTTGCTGTGAAGAGTTGACAGCCTAGAACAGAGGTCAGCAGATTTTCCTGCAAGGGGCCAGTGGTCAGTGTTGTGAGCTTAGTGAGCCTCAGTTCTGCTGTTGTGGTCAGGGGCAGCTGTGGACACAGGAGAGGGGACGCTCTGCTGCTGCGGCCACCGGCTCTGCATCTGTGGACCTGGTGACCACGTGCGAGGACGCGTGGTCGGGAGGGCTGCGTCCGGACCAGGGACGCAGGCTGTTTTCCTCGTCACCGGTCGGGACAGTGCTGTGTGATAGCTGTGGACGTCACGTTTACTGCGGGAGGTCCGGGACGATGGCACGTGTGTGGAGGACAGGCAGAGTTAGAGCCAGTACTGTGCCTGTTCTTTTCCCCTGGGTTGGAGCTTGGACCCAGGGCCTCACACTGCTGCGTATGAGCTGGGGCGCTCTGTATCGGACATTCTCGAGTCCTTGGATTCGCCGTCCAGCCCCTTGCAGGACAAAGGACGCCTGTTGTGACCAGACTGCATTTAAGGGCACTGAAACCATAATTTTCAGATTGCCCCATTAATACTTTGATTTTTTCTCTTTTCCCTAAAGTGTTAAAACAGTAATACCAAGCATTCTTAGTCTGTGAGCTGTCCATACTCAAGTGTGGGGCCTCAGCGTCCCCTGACCTCTGGCCTGGACTTGAGTTGGCTGCAGGATGAGGCCAGTAGCGGCTGCCCAGGACCCGCCAGTGGGCTGAGTGAGGGGCACCCCGCTCCGGGTGCCGATCCCCACTCCTGCGTCACAGGCCAGTTTGCGAATTGGCCTGTGGCCGATCCGGCTCTAAGGAAGCAGAGTCTACGAGCTCTGGGGAGCGCTGGTCTGTACATACCAGTTACACGTCTTCACCTTAACAAGGAGCGCACGTGCAGTGAATGCAGAATGCTTGGCTCCAGGAGAGCTTTATCACGCACCCGGGTTTCTTCCATCTGCGTTGTCTCTGGTGTGCACGGGTGCCTGAGGGACGCGAGCTTCCTGTCCGGGAACGCTTTCCTTTGCCTGCCCCTCAGAGGCTGGGGCTCAGGTGGCTTCTGCGCATTCTCCCCGAGCCTGAGTTCGTGATCTGCAAGCCCGGGGCCTCAGCTGTTCCTGCAGCTGTGGGCTGCAAGCTCTGTAGCGCTCAGGTAGGCGCGTACGGGCCCAGGTCCCTGAGCTGCTGCCTGCTGGGGCCCCGGGCCCTCACACTCAGTGTGGGAACTGTAGGGATTCTGGCTGGGCTGGGTGCTTGCTGTACCCCAGGAAGGAACGGCGGCAAGAATGAGGAAAAATAGACAAGAGACAAGAGCTGGGATCAGGTGGAGGGCCGGCCTCTCAGCGGAGAAGGGGAGCTGCCCAAGACCAGTAGAGTGTTTGTTTCTACCCTCAAGAGGTTGGTTCATTTTCGCCTCACTGTGCAGCAGTCAGTTAACAAGCTACAGTGGCTTGTTTACATGTTTCAAGGAGCTCCCGTGTTCTCGGAGCTCCCGTGTTCTCGGGCTGGCTTTGTCCTGCACATGTCATTACTTTCCAGCTTCCGTGGCTCCCGACAGGGAGCCATGCCAGTCACCCTGCGCCTGACCGGGCTCCCTGCCTCAGTGGTTGCAGCCAGACCTCGGTCCCTGCATAGCACATGATTCCTTTCTGTGCTTCCTGTGCGTGTTCGCTCAGTGCACGCTGCACCCACCTGCACCCCCGGGACACCCAGCCTTGGGATGGTTGTGGCCTGGGTCACTGCAGGCCTCTCTCCCGAGCTTCCCTGCGTCCTGTGGAGGCTTCCCTCTGGTGCTGTTTTCTAACTGGGTTGCTGTTTTATGAAGCTGTCCTTAGCTACAGTGCGTGTCGCCTGGGCTTTCTCTTTCTTCCACAGAGGTTGCATCAGCAGTTAAGGGCAAGTGCGCGGAGGTTAAATTAGTGGCCCAGGTCCATCGTGGTGCTGCTGTGGCACAAAGAAGCGGGCAGGCGAACTTTCCCTGCCCGAGTCCCTTCATCCGTGAAACTAGCCACAGAGCCAGCTGCTTTGCAGGTAGTCGGGCTCATTCACGATTCGCCTAATGTTTACTGAGTAGCTGCTTTGGGCAGGTGTCATCTTAGATGCTGAGGATTTAGAGGGGAACTTCGCTTCCATGCTAGCAACAGCAGAATAACAAACTGAGCCTGGGAAGATGAGCAAAATTAATAAGCACTCTAAAAGTAAAAGGTGGCTGGGTGTGGGGGTGCACACCTATGGAAAACCGGGTTAAATAACCCAAAGTTATTGCGGGCTGATCAGGCCCGCAGTCTCCCCAGCGAGTGGATGGCAAAGGCTTAAATAAGTGAGACAATAGAAATGATTTCAGGGCTCCAGGAGGGACTAACTCTCTTATAGCTTCAGTATTCTCTGAGTTACCAAAGACTTCTCTGGGTGGCCCGTATTTATTTGGTTTTCAAACAAAGGGAGAGGATACTCAAGAACACACAGGAATCTCACAGGACCTTGGGAGAATTTTCCCAAGCAGTAAATTATGTCAATCAGGAGAACTACCTCATCTTTAGGTTGGTATTTATTGTAGGAGTGTGGGGCCTGCAGCTGCAGTGTCCTGGTAGTTAACTGGGGTTGGAGCCAGGCGTCCTCAGCTGTAGTCTCCTTGTCCGTGACGCTTCACAGCTTCACAGGCCGATGCAGGCCTCAGCGGTTACCAGTGACCCATAGAGGTTTATTTACTATGAGTCAACTGCCCAGCTGTTGACAAGGTGCCTAAGCTTCGGACAACTCCCAAGTAAACATGAAAAGCCAGTTGGTTAATATTAAATCCTGCTCAGAGCTGCTACATAGTGGTCTCCATCGCACACCTGTGATCTTAGTACTTGGAGGCTGAGGCAGGAGGATCACTGCAAGTTCGAGCCAGCCTGGACTACATAGTGAGGCCCTGTCTCAAAAGAAAAAGAAAAGTGAAAATAAAGGACAGGTGGTAGCGCAGCGTGACAAGGGGGTTAGTGGGCAGGGAAAGGATCACTGAGCGGAGAGCTGTGTGAGAAGTCCACCGAGACCCTGGCTCACTAGGGCAGAGAGGAGTGCTGAGGAAGGACCCTGTGGGCAGACGGGATGGGGGGCACTGACTGGCAGGTGTAAAGTGCTGGGCTTGGAGTCCGTGCTGGACACGGAAGTGCTGCGCCTGAGGGAGCCAGGCGCGGGTGAGCGAGAGGCCGCAGGGCTCTGAGGTGACGCTCGGTCTCCGTCTCTGCTCCACACAGAGCGTCGAGTGGCCGCTGAAGTTCCCTCAGGCCTTCGCCCGGATGGGCCTGACGCCTCCCCGAGGCCTCCTGCTCCACGGGCCTCCCGGCTGCGCCAAGACCACCCTGGTGCGGGCCCTGGCCACCAGCTGCTGCTGTGCCTTCCTCTCACTGAGCGGAGCCGAGCTCTTCTCGCCTTTCGTTGGCGATTCAGAAAAAGTCGTGGCTCAGGTCTGTTCGCTTCCTGTGTGTTCATGCGTGCTTTTGGCTCTATTTCATGCCTCACAGATGAGCCTTACTTTGAAAAAGATGACTAGCTGGCTGTTTTGGCGCACACCTATAATCCCAGCACTCGGGAGGCTGAGGCAGGAGGATTGCTGAGTTCAAGGCCAGCCTGGAAGCCGGGCATGGTGGCGCATGCCTGTAATCCCAGCACTCGGGAGGCTGAGGCAGGG